CACCGTTCTGACTTTTATATTGCATTTCTCCAGGACACCAAACCTCCATGATGGGACTGGGGATATTGCTCAATGGTAGTATGTTTGCCTACCATGTGCAAGACCTTGGGTTCCATCTCCAGCACCACAAAAAATAAACAACAAAAGACAACTCCATGTCATGTATTTAGAAAGTTAGTGGCAAATTTTTCGACAAATCAGGTAGTTTCAAAGTTTTGCTTTCAACAAAAGTAAAGGAGTCCCAGTTCAGTTGTCAGCTAATGATTCAAATAAAATATTTTTGATGATGGATCACTAAGTGATTTGGGGGTATAACTCAGGAAGAATTCAAAGTGGGAGACATGCTATAGCAAAATATTTATTTCTCATGTACTTATATAAGTGAAGGTTTTTCTCAACTCTTATAAGAATACAAAATAAGAATAAAACTGATATTGAACTCTTACTTATCCTAGCAAGAAGTAATATTCATCTATAGGTGTATGAAAACAAAAGCTCATTTCATTATAGTTCCTATTAATTTTTACTTCTTATGTTTAATAAGTATCAAAATTATAAGTTATTTTGGCCGATTTTATACTAATAATATTTTTGACAGCTGAATCTCAAAGTTATTTGAATACCACAGAGAAATTTAATATGTGTGTGTTCCAAAGAAGTATGATAGGGTGATTTAAAACAAAAGTTTTCATGCATAAAAATATATTAGGATAAAGTTACATGGAGAAGTGGAGTGTAAATAAAAGGGAAAAATAAGAATATAAAACTTGTGCCTGTTAAAGAAGAGTTAGTGTATGAATTTTAAATGAACACAACCTGTGTAACTTACTCAGTTTTCCCAAATTTGGGCTATGAAGGGATTAGAAATAAGAAATACAAGAACTAAAAGACTCAATTATAAGTAGATAGCGGGACTCAGTGGGTGAGTCAGTCATGGTAGGTTCTGACCTCTAACAATGATTGAGAGCCTCTGTGCTTTATTTTATAGGCAAGAACATCAAAGGGATTTATTGTGAGAAAAAACTTCAAGGTAAACAAGTGAAGCTGTGGGGAAAATAGCCTAATTGGAGGCTTATCAACTTGCTCAGTATTTCTTCCTCCTCCTGGTATTTAGCGCTTCAAGGCTATTTAGTCACACTGATATCTTCCACCTCCAAACAGCTGCATTAGAACCTGGGGCTGTTTGAACCAATAAATTAATTCCATGGAACACAGACTCCTCTTTGAGCAGGGTGTCAGCAGGTTACTGAGCTATCTCTAATCATTGGGAATCACTGAGAATTCTCAGAAGAGCAACACCTTTGCCTTGAGATGGCTCAGAGAAATCCATAATTCAGTCATAGCTCCCATCACTAATAGTTATGAAAATCACTCTAATGTGTAGGTTCCACAGACATATATTTTTGACATTTTCATGTTTTCGGTGTGGGTAATCCAACCTAGTGCCTCCTATACATTCTGGAAGTACTGAACTGATGAGCTACACATCCCCAGCTCACTGGATACATTTTAAAAGGTGGCATAAGTGTAGTGGTAGAGCACTTGTTTAGCATGTGAGAAGCCCTGGGTTCAATCCCCAGCACCATATATCCCTACAAAATAGTGGTTTAATTTGTATTTTAAAATGTTGGTTATTTTTTTCAATATATAGAATTTCCACCCATAACCATATGGTGAAGGGTTTTATGTCAACTTAAAATGTGTATAGTTTTTCAAAATCAGTTGATGACTGTACTAACAAAATATTTTTAGATCACTGATCTTGTGGATCCCAAATCTGCTTGCCGATGTACTTGATCTTCTAACTTTGGAGATCAGTAAATAGAGCAGCTTCAGACTCCACAATCAGGAATCTTAAGAAAAGCTGTGGCATGTAGTACCTGACTGCTGTCTTCAGAGTCTTCTAATGCTACTTTGCTATACATAAAAACTTTGGGGTAGAGTAGTGTTGGGGCAGGCCCAAAATGATTATCTAGTTAGGTTCCCTCACTGAGTCTTCTGGCAGGCTTTGTTATGTTTTTTTTTTTTTTTTTTTTTGTGTGTGTGTGTGTGTGTAACCACAGCGAAGAATCTGCTGTTATGGTCAGTATGTAGTAAGGTCATGAATACTGTTTCAATGTAAGTACTCAAGATCATAAATACCTCCTTGTGAGCATATGCCCACTGATATAACCTGTTGGTAGTGTCCCTTCTTTCTTTGGCCTGCATATTAAAGGGCCTATGGAAAAAACCCAGGAGGCTAAATGGAACTGGCTGGTGACAGTCTAGAGAGGCTGTTACCAACCTCCAAATAAAAGATGACCAATATTCCCACCATGTATCACATCTTCTCTCAACTTCTGGATCCCCATATATTGTTTGCCGGGCCTGAGCCTCAACCTCTGCCTGCCAAGTAGTAACTGCTCTTCCAGATTCAGGTTAGTAGCCCACCTAGGACAAGCATGACAGGGTGAGTCTGTATTATGCGGCGATAAAGGTAGGACCACAGCAAGTGGGTGCGTGGAGAGCTGTGAGACCCATTTTAACACAGAGGTGTGCTTTCTCAGGCATAGGAAGCACCATCCTGGATAGCTTCTGTAGTCTTTCATTGAGATGGTCCTGAGACAGCTGGTGCTAGGGGCAGATTGTAGTAAGCTATTCCCATTGTTGTAGACAATAGGTCGAATTCAAGGAGCTCAAGGCTTTTATTCAAACCAGCTTGATTTTATATCATATTTCTGCTTGCTAACAACACCACTTGGGTAAGTAGCCTTATCACTAAAAATCTCAATATTGTGATGGTTATTTGAGGTAAAATTGCAAAATGTACATTTAAGTATCTGATCAATAACTTTGATTAATAATATGATCAAGGCAAAGTGGAGCAGATGAATTGGATGTTAGGTGAAAAGACTTCCTTGGAGATAAAGTTCCCTGAGGAGAGAACAAGTAGACGAGGGAGGAAGGATCATAGGTGGAGGGAACAGTATATACTGAGTTTGGTAAAAGCTAAAGAATCTTGTTCCAAAAAGCTAAAATAGTTCTGTTGGTGTAAGTCATCAGGGATCAGAATTTTGTTTTAGTCAAGGCTTAGTTTTGTCATGAATGAGGATAAGTTTTGAAAATTTTACTTCACTGCCATAGTACAGTTTTAAAATCTGACCAACTTCTCCTATCTTCTAGTGACTTCGCATCATTCACAACATAAAATTTAAAAATGCTATCCCATGCTACTTGGTCCATATAATTTTCTGCCATATTAGGCTTCTGATTCCCCAAATGCACTATTCTCTGTCATACCTATGTTGTTGTATTGCCCTGCAACTTTCTTTCTCATTTCTTCCAATTAATGTACTAGATAATATACAAAAGTCAATAGTGTTTCTAAACCAACAGTCCTCTTAATATGTTCAAAAGGAAATATTCAAAATTAATAACTTTTACTTTTATCTGAAATAAAATGTGAATAAGTGAAGAAATTTTGTTCAGGGTTGGAAAGATTAAATACTAAATGCAACTTACCCAAGGTGGTGTTGCTAGCAAGCAGAAATATGATATAAAATCAAGCTGGCTTGAATAAAAGCCTAACGTGTTAATTCTCTCCAAATCTAATGCATTTAATGTAATCCTAGTCAAAGTTACTATTAACTGAACAATTAATTTTAAAATTATATTGAAAGAATATATATCCATGAGTTGATTTGAACGTTTTGAAGAAAAAAGAATAATAAATAGAGGTTTGCCTTACCTGATATTAATCAGTTAAGAGTGTCCTCCCTTTTGTTAGCTAAGAGGTAGGCACATGACTTAAGCCAAGTCATTCCAATCTGTATACATTAAATTGGTTCTGACTATTTTCAGGTCTTGTCTCACACCTGCTGAATCCAGGTTGGGCTCAGTGGTCTTTTTTTTTTTTTTTTTTTTTTTTAAATCAAACTCTTGGTGCACAGTAAACTTTGCAAATTCCTTTCTTAAGTAGATGGTCATCTTCCAAAACAGCTGAAACAGATATGCCAGGATTCAGTTGTATATCATCCATGACAAATACGAGGCACTGAAAATGGAAAGCAGTTCCATATAACAGGCCTAAATTGAAATTCACCTGGCATGCTTGAGTCGAAGGTGTTAGATTTCAATCCAACCATTCCTCACATAGTCAACTCCAGGGTGAGTAGCAGCTGGAATTTATTTAATTGACCATGTTTAATGAGGCTCCCAAATAACTCAGAAAGGTCATCTAGTAAATTAATTATTTATCGTTATATCATCTATCAGTTGATGTGAGATTGTGATTGTCAAGAGATCTACTTGTTGGGCCAAATACAAATTCAAGAAAGTAAAGATACTGGGGGGAAAGCTTGCACCATCAGTCCGTGAGTGAATTTTAAATCATCTTTGAATCTGAATCTTCTGAGCCACTCATCATCTCATTAACTCCATTCCTGTAGAGTTCACTGTAATTAGGTTTTCACACCTTTTATCCTAATCATATAAAACTTTAATACTAATTTCTTTAAACATATTTTTTGATGGTACCTTTCCCTTCAATAATAACAATCTCTTGTTTTAAATTTTGTCTCTAAGTGAAACACTTTCTTGTGCATGTAGTGATAGTCAGAAATCTATTTTGACTAAATGCAAAATAGATTTTTTACTATCATTGCCTGTAAAGGCAGGCCATATTTTTTTGGCAAGATATTCTGTAGGGAAAGTTAAAACTATACTTCCCTTGTGTAGAACTTAAGGGGGGCACAAAAAACTCAGTATTGTATTTTAATGATCAAAATTAATTTTAAAAAAAAGCTACAGTAAAAATAAAAACTTTAAATAAAGATAGGTTCATAACATGAGCTGATGGAATCATATCAGGTCTTTATGAGGCAAAAGGAAAAGTCAGAAAGACTGATCCTGTCTCTGAAAATCAGAGATAAGTATAAACTTAGAACAATGGTCACCCCATTGATAATATAAAATGGTATTAATGTGTTTCATATTAACAATCTTTTGTTTTCTGTTTCTAGGGATGTACTGATATCTCCATCATTGTGGCAATATGCTGTCCTCCTCAACCGATTCAATTATCCTTTTGAACTGGAAATGGATTTATATTTGAAGGGCTATCACCAACTCTTTCAAGGATCTTTACCCTACTGTCCTAAATCACTAAAGTGTTACCTCAGCAGAACTACAGACCGTTTGCCTTCAGAAAGACACCAGTTTGGTAACCTGAAAAAATACTATCTCCTGAATGCTGCTTCTCTTCTCCCAGTACTAGCTCTGGAATTACGGGATGGGGAGAAGGCTCTAGATCTATGTGCTGCTCCTGGAGGCAAATCATTAGCACTGCTACAATGTGCTTGGCCAGGTAGTGTGCTTTTATTTCCTTGATTAACAATTGTTTCATATCTGTATGTTAAAAAATTCTTTGAAAGTGTATGGGAAGAAATGTAAGATTGAGTTTGCAAACGTAAGAAACTTGAAAACCACTGTAGACAAGACTGGAAACATTAGCTGAATGATGCAGTGTAAATAACACTCTTTCCAGCTTTCAAGCCCTAACAGATAATTGGAAACAAAATTTTAACATTTTTTGAACAGATCTACCAGGTATGAATATGAGTGCCATTAGCCAGTGACACAGGCTTTTTAAAATTTTGTTGTTTACTTTCTTTTCTTTCTTTTTTTTTTGTGCTAAGTAGGTGCTCTACTACTGTACTTGAAAATCTTGTATTAAAATCACTTCATACATTTCTGCAACAAAACATGTACATTTAAAATTATTTTACTGTACCTGTCCAACAGAAATATAATATTTTTTTTTAGTCAGATTTTTTACTGCTATGACCAAAAGATCTGACAAGAACACTTTTAGAGAGGGAAAAGTTTATTTGGTGCACACAGTTTCAGAGGCCTCAGTTCATGGACTTCCAATTTTATTGCTCTGTGACCAAGATGAAGCAGAATATCAAGGTAAAAGGATGCAAAGGAGAAAAACAGTTTCGGGCATAATAATCCAGAAGCAGAGAGAGCTCCACTCACCAGGAACAAAATATATACCCTGAAGGCATACCCCCAGTGGTCTACATCCTTTAGCCATACCCTACATGTATATAGTCACCACCCAGTTAAATCCTCCCAAGTGGATTAATGCACTGATTAAAGGTTCTCATTACCTACTCATTTCACATCTGAATTTTCTTGTATTTATACAAGAGTTTTGGGGGAATACCACATATCCAAACCATAACAATTATGGAATACATATAAATTTAAAATATTTGAATAGTCATCAGGAAAATATAGAAACAGGTGAAATTAATTGAATGTTATTCAAAGTTGTATATTAACATATGATCAAAATAAAAATGTTTACTGAGGTATTTTACATTCTTATTTTTTTACAAGTCTTTGAAATTGGTTATTTTACAGAGAGCACATTTCTGTTTGAACTAACTACATTTCAAGTGCTCATAGCCACATGTGGCAAGTATGGGCCAAAGCAATAAGTTCTTTTGAAATGACTTCATCACTACTATTATTACTAGTGCAAAAGTGATACACAGTTTTATAAATACTGATCAACAAGTCCACATTTATTATCTTCTTCTTCCTTTTTCTTTTTTTTTCTTTTGTGATGCTGAGGATTGAACCCAGAGCCTCACACATGCTAGGCAAACTCTCTATCACTGAGCCAGATCTCCATCAGTTAATGTTTTCTTAATGAAATAGATGGATACTTTAAAAAAATGAATTCAGATTCCCTGGATAAATATTACTTATTGCTGGATAAGATAGAGTTCAGCATCAGTTCTGTTTGAGTTTTATTTGAAGATTTTATTTTTATACATGTAAATATTGTAGTTCACACAGAAATGGTGGGAATGTATTATAGTGTTTTCATTGGTACTTTAAATTCCTGAATTATGGTCCCAAATCACATACAGGTCTCTCATTAAGCATTATTTTGATGATACATTGAGTGAGCACTGTTTAAATCTATTTTTCATTTTGTATAAGGTGAAGTATTGAAGCCAGTTTGATTGTATATACTCACATACATATATATAACATATATGTATATTATATATAAGTATATTTTATATATGTGTGTGTATATTGTGTGTATATATATATACTTATATATACATATATATTTGTGCATATATGTATTCATTTATATTTTCTGGAGGTATCTAAACCCTGGTATAATTTGCTTTATGATTCTGGATGATTGGGAACCTTACTTTTTCATTTGTAAAATTGATGAATTGCCATGTGAAAGGAGAGTCCCCACTGGAGGATTTTTTTTTCTCCTTTAGGAAGTTGATCTGAAAACTGATTCTTTTGAAATTATTCTAGGTCTCCTTATTCCTTCGAAAACTGGCATGTATACCCCAGGGCATGCATATTCCAATTTGAAGACTGCCAGTGTATTTCTTCCTTTGAGATCACTCCCTGTTAAAATATATTTTAATAAGGATCCAGCTGTACTTGGCATTGGTTCAAATCTATCTTGTCACAGCAGAAGTGATATCTCTGGAAGTGGGTCCAAGGGTTTCTCAGAGATATGGAGGAACTTGACTCAGGGCCAGAAGGATCCTTGTCTTATGTGTTGGAGAAGAACTGCAGCACATGCCAGTCAATATAGACAGATATTTATTTATGAAAGCAAAGAATACACATTTAAGAGAGAAGTCAGGCCATCTTTGAAAGTGAGAAGTATACTTTGGGGTTCCCAACTCTCCACTTAAAAGAAAATTGGTGAGGTGTGGTTATGGGGAAATCTGTAAGGATAGTGTCTTTTTAGTTATCTTAAGGTGGTTTGTAGTAATTTGGTCATTCTCAGAATTGTTAGACTGACATGACCTTCATTATCTGATCAATGGATAATACTGTAAAGCCTCCTAAATTTCAGGTTCCTCAAAATGCATCTCTCTCTCTCTCTCTCTCTCTCTTTCTCTGCCTTAACTATTTATTGGTCATTAGTTAACAATGCACAAGGTAGATTTAAGACTTCCCAGAAATGTGGCGGTGACAGACCTGGAAAAGCATATGAAAATTTAAGATTATATTTTGATAGACCCAATATGATCTTTTCTTAAAATTGGGAGTCATCTCGCCACAAAGCCATGAAAAGATAATTTCGGCTTTACTATAAATTACTGCAAATTCTGAACCTGCTTGGAATGCCTTCCCGTGCCTTGAACTCACCCACGCCTGGCTCTCTGACCAGATAGCAGCCCTCTCTGAAACTTTAGTGATGCCTCATAAATATTGGCCTTCCCTGGTCAGATAACGACCTTCTCTGAGGCTCTAATGGTCCTCATAAATTCTGATGTTGGGGCCAGCAAAAAAATGTAAACTACCATTAGTGTGATGCTTGTCAGAGTTCTGTTATCTGTAACCCCCCTTTGTGTAACTTTCTGGGCTGGAAAGCTGGGCTGCAGGAAAGCTGGGGTGCTGTCTTGTTCCCGCTGTTTTGGGAGGGAGAGGCAGGCCGGCCGGTCGAAATAATAAGTTTGCTTTAATTTGATTTTAATTGGAGTCAGTGGTCTTTTCTTTCGTTCTGGTCTAACAATTTACTTATACTTTCTTTACATTTGCTTTCTACCTTTTTTTTTTAATTCTTTTATCTCATATTAACTGTATATTTAACAGAAAATACTGAGTGTTTTAGAGTTCTGGTTAAAGTTCTGTTACCGAAACTTGCTATATTTTAGTGTAAGAAATCACAATAGACAAGATTGTTTTATACATGACCTTATTTTTATGATTTGGAACAAAATTTTATGGAATTGTTACTGGTGGTATTCTGGGGAATCCAGGAGATTACATTTTGATTTTTGACTACTATCTTCTTACGAGAAGATTTTAAGCAAGACATAAAATGTATTACAACAGCAAATTTTATTAGGAAAGAAAGGAAAAAACCCTCAAGGGAAAGGGTGAGTCATCTCAAAGAGGAGAGCAAGATTGCTCTCCCTTTATTCCCTAGTCTACTTGGGGGTCTTAGGGAAGTTTCTAGAGTGTTCCACCCAGGTGCCACCTCTTAACTTTTGATTGACAGATTGTATCAGATTATTGAGTCCTTTGCCGGGCTCAATAATCTGATGCAATCTGCTCAGAGGTCACTCCAGATAAACTGGGCTAACTGGGCTGCACGAAATAACCACACAATAGACACAAATACCTTTTTCTTTGGGGTCACTGTGACGGCTCCTCTGACCTTAAGGGTCCACAGAAAGAGAGCGAGCAAGAGCACTCGCTGACCCATTTTATCCAGGAGAAGTTATTTAAATGAGGCAAGGGTTCAGGTTTCAGGGGGCTGAGTATCTTCATGATGTTAACTGTCAGCAGATTGATTGACACCTGAGTAGGCCACACCCAAGGGCACAATAAGAGAATGGGACACACACAAGGCACTTCCATGGAAGATTCTATCCTAAACAGGGCAAAGCGTTATATTACAAAGGAACAGGTGAGCGTAGCTTCACCCATGGGGCTGTAGAAAGACACCCATGCACGAGACACCAACCCTTGCACCCAAGAAGGGTGAGAAAAGTTCTGCCACATTTCTGCAACTGAGCGCTTCAGCACCCAGCCAGGGAGTGTAACTCAATCATGTGTAAGATTGACCTCCCACAGTCCTTACTGCACATGATTTTACCTACAGGTACCCAAGAGAAACCCAGGGGGATGGGGAATTTTACTATTATAATGAAATTAAAATAGCATGTTAAAGATCTAAAGGCAGCTCTTAATCACTTTGACCAAGTGTTATTGGAACTTGTTTGTACAGATTTTATGGTTGTTGGGCTTTGTTTTTAAGTATCTTCCTAAGTCTTGGAATCTTTGTTCTATGTAAAGATCACAATAGTTCACTTTCAAGGTAAATTGTGTTTTTCTTATGGAAAGAATCTTTGGATGATCATTCCTCTACCCAGAGAGAAAAGCAATGAGGATTGTCCCGACTGGCAGGACACATCAACGTGGGCAGCGAACCTAGATGGGGAGGAATGAAGGGACAAGAGACACGAAAGGTGACAGCAAGACAAAAGTTCTGATCAAGCTGCAAACTTTTATTGTTCACACAGGGGTATTTATATGCTGGGGATGGAGAAGCTCTCTAATCAGCAATTGCTGGATGTGGGTGGGTATTCATATGCTGGGGATGGGGAAGCTCTCTAATCAGCAATTGCTGGATGTGGGTGGTAAAACTGCCTGGTGTAAGATGTCTGATGATCCTAATACCCGCAGGATGTTCCAGGGAGATAGGTAGCTGCAGGATGCCTCCCAGGCAGGATGTCTCCCAGGGGGCTGTCAAGCTAATCTTTGAAGGAGAATTTCCTTCTATTCCCAGAGGAT